CTGCTGACAATGAGGATTTCGGACAGGAAAGCAGAGCAGCTGGCTAGTGTTTACTCACAGAAATGCCAGTGAGTACATGTTAGAGCCCTGTACTCCATGGGCTTTACAAGCCCGCCTGGTAGCAGAGCCCTTGAGATCTGTGCCAAAACTACAACACTCCATCTTGGACATATCTGAGCTTTAAGGATGTTTAAAATCTGGGGCCCTGAGAAACTGTATTACAATTGGTGTTGCTTAACAACTATCTGGAAAAAGATGTGAACAAGGTGGCAACATTTGAAGATGACAGAAGTATTTAGATTAGCCATGATAAGAAGTGACAGTGAGGAACTTCAGAGAGATCTGACAAAGTCAGATGAATAGGCACTTTGATAAGATACAAAGTTATTGTTGACAGCTGTAATATAAATTAACTGAAGCTGCTCAAGAAATGAACCCAGGCATTCACTGAGGACATCTGCACTGAAACCTCAAGTCAGTGTGCAGCAACAATCCTGAAAGTTAATTAAATGTGAAGATGTGTACAAAGGAGAGTGGGAGACTATTACAACATCAGTCTGTAAAGTAAGGGCACATCTTCACCTGTGCTCAGGTCCAGTCAACCAATCCCAAAAAGCTGTACTAGAAACAAAAGGGATTTAAATGACTGTAAATATGAAGACAGTTCCAGAGGAGGAGAATGTGAGATCTGAGAGGTTTTAATTAGAGATATGAATAATGTACTCTAATGATAAGAGGATACAAATTTGTGTAGAGACAGATTTGCTTGCCACAAGATGTCATTGTCCGCAAAAACTGAATATCCTTTTGCAGGCTCAGAAAATGGGAAGAGGCGCTAACCAAAAAAAAGCTTTGGAGACTGAGAGGGAGGTTGTGACATCTTTATTAAAGGCAGCTTTGTCATATATGGAACAAATAAATATTAGTAAGCAATTTATGGTGACCATACATAGTGGAGAATAACACTTCCTCATGCTTTAAGGGATACTAGTCTTTTAAGGAACTCACCATAACGTTGCATCAATTAAGTCCTCCAGGATGCTGGCCCATGTACTGTGCTAGATTTGTGTGCTAAATAAAAGAGAAGTTGAGGGAAAGCTACTAGTGTAAAATGCTTCTACCAACAATGCATCTTCTGTAAGTGGAAAAAATATGCAACTACGACAAAGGTGTCTCTTTCACCTTGGCGATCATCTGATCTGATGCAGCACAGAAGGATGTGCTTAAGTGCTGGGTCAAATCAGAGACCTAGCTGATCTGTTATCTCACCCTAGCAGTTTATGACCTGAGGCTGATAGTTAACAGAATTCATACTTGTGCCAGGATTAATCATAAAGCTGCAGTAAGAAGACATAGCCCCTGTATTTTGCTTATAGTTTGGTTGATAGCTATCAGCAAAAGCAACAGAAGTAGCAAAACTCATGCTGAGGACTTTTTTATTGACATCCTGCCCTCCCCATGTGTCGTGGTTTAACCCCAGCTGGCAACTAAGCATCACACAGCCGCTTGCTCACTCCCCCCTGGTGGGATGGGGGAGAGAAGCAGAAGAGTAAAAGTGAGAAAACTTGTGGGTTGAGATAAAGACAGTTTAATAGGTAAAGCAAAAGCCGTGCACACAAGCAAAGCAAAACAAGGAATTCATTCAGTACTTGCCATTGGCAAGCAGGTGTTCAGCCGTCTCCAGGAAAGCAGGGCTCCATCACACGTAATGGTTACTTGGGAAGACAAGCACCATCACTCTGAATGTCCCCCCCTTCCTTCTTCTTCCCCCAGCTTTATATGCTGAGCATGACGTCATATGGTGTGGAGTAGCCCTTTGGTCAGTTGGGGTCAGCTGTCCCAGC